TAATAGCATTTTTTTTTAAATTTTTTATAATTTTTTTGAGATGTCCTATGATTCGGGAGAAGATTATTAGGAAGAAAATTAGTAAAAAAAAAAAAAAGATTTGTTTCCATCTAGGGCAAATCTTTTAGTTCACTTTTAGTACTTAAGTAATTTGAGATTTAAACTTATTCAAATTGCTCATTAGGTAATTTTAAAATTTTAGAATGAAAGTTTTTTTTTTTTGTGGGTTTTTATAAAGATTTAGAAGTGAACATTTTTTATTCATATGTCTCCATACCAACACCATAATGATATTTATAAAATTTCTTTTCTATAAAAAGACCTTAAATCTATCAATTTTTTTTTTATAATATTTCCGGGTGAGAGATTCAAGCAAATCTTTTTTAGCATCGAATAAAAATTTCTTGTTAGGCCTAGAGTGACTAAACTCTTAAGAGTTTAAGATTGAAAATTAAAGACAGTTTACATTTAAATCTTTAGATTGTTGAAGGCTTGGGAATTGAGAGGGCTAAGAGCATATTCTCTCCCATTGTTCTATTGTTCTCTTTAAAAGGAAAATCCAAGACAAAATTTTTCTCTCATTTAATGGGCAAAATTTTTTTTTTAAATGCTTGACATGGGTTGACATCAGAAATTGCTTTTGGCCAATATAAAGGTAGCTGGATTGGAAATCCAATGGCTTCCTTTTTTTTTCTAAAAAAATAAGTTTTAACCTCAAAATTTTTTATTAAATATATAAATGGTTGATTAAATAAAATAAAGTTAGTGTGACTTTAAAAAAGTTCATTTTCACAATATACATTAAAAATGAGATATTATGTTAAATATTTTATTTAAAAAATAAACATATCAAAATATAAACTTATATAAAATAATATTAATTATATTGATATGACATTAAAATAAATTAATTTATTATTATCAATCATACGTACTCTAACTTTATTATATTTTATAATTTTTATTCTATATTTTAATGTTAGCAAGATAAAAGTCTTTTTAGCAAATCCCTTAATTTACTATACCTGATAAAATTAATTTTTTTCAATCATCAAGGTGTTTCCCGTGCATATTGAGATTACTCCATTCCAAGTGAATCTCACATTGAATAATATGAATACTGCACAATGGAAAAGAAGAAGAAGAAGAAGTTACTAGACAAAATTTGCAAATATTACATTAGAACTTTCACTTTATTCCACCCTTCTTTACTAAAAACAACAACAATCCCTCTCCTCGTCGTCTTTGCTCCTTCCAATGTAGTATGAATCTTTCCCTTTCTTTTTTAAAATAATTCCTTCACTTTCTTTTCTTTCACTTTCTTTTCATTCCTCTTCCCGAATCGAAAACACAAGGTTAATATTGTAGACTTTTGCATCAAATTTTTCACGCATGATACTGCCAATCTAAAGATGGAAATGTTACTAATTTCTGGATCACAAATTTTGAATCTATGTAAGTACTTTTCTGGGACCCTGCAGCCCTCAACACACGTCAAAGCCTAACAGAGAGATTCCAATTCTAGCCAACCCTTTATCAGGAACCCAACCCAATCCTTTTTGGTACCAAGACCCAGAAAAGCCAAACCCCATTTGATGTGTCAATTAACACAAACCACAGTTTCGATCCTTCTAGGTTTCTACTTCAATATATTACATATACTGAAGATATTCTCCATTAAAAAAAGAAGCTAAAATCGAGAGGCAGTACTAGCAATTATAAGGAGAGAAGAAAAAAGGATGATGCCATAGGGTCCATGATAAAGAGTACTAACAGATAAGCGTCTGCTGGCTTCCGAATGGTTGTGTTCTGTGACTCGACAAAATACAGATACTGTTTGATAGAACTTACAAATTATTTGTTTTAGAAATATTATTTTAAAAAAATATATAATATTTTATTTAAAAATTATTTTAAAACTAAATTTTAAGTAATTTTT